AATTGACTATGATAACGTTGCTGTGGGTTAACTGCTTGTGCAGAAGTTTTCAATCTATCTCCACCTCCTGGCCGGTTTGAGGCAGTTTATTCTGCCATTATATGGCACGGATACTGAGCCTATCGATCCTCTTCAGGATCTCACTGTCGAAGATCCTTTTTCTCACTTTACCTCCATTTTTTCGGAAACGCATGAGGTAAACGTAGTTGTTTCTTCATGCCTAAGTGTAATGGGCACTCTAAGTCTCTGTCACGTATAAGGCCGCTGTCAGGACAGAGGTCCCATGAATTCTAATTTTCATCATTGAGGAAAATGCCGTTAAGATTTTGGACGTAATACTATGGTCAGTCGAAGTTCCCGTTGGCATTAGATAGCCAACTTACAATTTCTTGATCGATCTTTGATTTCCTAACGTTGCACTCCTCGGATACGGTAACTTATCTACTGGTGTAAGATCAGTTTCATTGATATAAATATGTGGTTTGCTGTGGTCATTACTTGACGCCGGCCGGTGTATAACCACTGATGTTCTGTGCTGAAACGCTGTACGAGAATGGAGTGGCCGGGGACGAAGAGCTTCATGTTGCTAGGCATGTCCACTTCCATTGTTTTGTCCGGCGTGCAGTCTTCCACAATCACATGAGACACAAAAATACCTATAAGGCTTCCACGTACTTTGTTGGCAATGTTTAAAGTTCCATTTCCCGGATCTGACAAAAGACGTTTTTATTTAAATGACTCCCTTTATAACGATGTGGACCCATTATTTGCGATCAGATTGTACACGTTGGAATCGTTTTAATAGACAAAACCGAAAAACGAAAATAACGAAAAATGTAGGACGACGAAAGATCAAACATGTAATATTATTTCCCCTATTTCGCTTTGGAAAGTATTAAGTTTAGAAAAATCAAGCATGAATATGCAGTTGTATTTAGAAAAACGAGAAACTTAGAGAAAAATGACAGAATAAAATAAGCCGTTCACGTCTTCTTTGGAACCCTCGTAGCAAGTGTACCAATTCCATTCTCAGCGCTGTTTTTATTTCAAATAACAGTTCATGCATAGGTTGGGGTAGCGACGTCTTGATAATTAGCAGTGACAGTCGTTGATGAATACCCGAATTCGCATCCCATAATCGAAGAATGGGTCTGAAGTCTGACTGCTTGGTCTTCAAGACAGTTTTGCGCCCTCAAGAAGAACCCCAACGCCAAGTGCATTTCTTGTGAGCATGTCATAAATCGGCACTGACAGTTGTTTTGACGTTTCCCCGTCTGGTTTCTAGGGCTTTCCTCCGGACATGAATGGACGTGTTTTGACGGAAAAACACTGACTTTAAAGGCCATTTGCCCGTCTTTGTGCTTGTTGTTCTTTACAGTTACCACATCGAAAACTGATAAACCCGTCTTTCTTACAATCAGTCTATGCCTACTTAACTTTGGGTTGTCTTTTAAAGCTTTAGGCAAACGCAGTGACAGTAACGGTGGGCAATTGTAATAACTGTTCAGTTTTTGGAATGCACCCGCCCTCACACTGTGGTCACCTATTATCTACAAACCTATGCCGAAACGCAATTTTTAGCATAAGAGAGGCCCTAACAAGCAAAAAGTTAACTGGTTCAAAATAGCTTGTTATTTATAGTAGGAACTCATTGCGTCAAATCAGCTTGCGTAAATTGGTAAGCTTTCAAATGACCTCATAAAATTCCCTTCGAAAAACATTCAGCGATAAAAGGAGTGTTCCAAGACAGGTTTTATGAAATACGAACAGGGACGGCAGTTTAAGAAAAAGATTAGTGAGACAACTCCATATTTAAAAAGTGTTTCAGATGTCCATCTGCCGAAGGGAAAAGATGGCGTTGCTTTCCATATCTAGGGCAACGTTAAGTCGTGAGGAGTTGCGTCGCATAGAAAGACCAAGATTTTCCACCAGTTTACCTAGACATATAAAAATTGCATGTGATGAACTTAAGCCTCGACTTGCAACTTAAGAGACAGGCCTGTAAACATGCTTGTAAATAGCATTCATCGTGCTATTCCGCTACTGCTTACTTTCTACTTCAGACTCCTATCTTTTGTACGTGAATTCTTTGCGCGGACCGAGGCGACAGATAATACAGCAAGCACTCCTAATGTGCTTACTAACAACAGTCAACAAAAAACTTAAAACCTGAGACTTAGACTCCATTTTTGGATAGCATTGCAGTAAATGATGAATGGGATTATCCACGCCCTGAATCTGCTTTGAAGCTACTTGCAGGGAATCTAACTTCGGCAAACTGCGGTAAGCAAGGCACCACCACGATCCATTTCTCAGCCAAATCTCGTCGGTAAATGTTTTCCGAATATGGTCATAAATATTCACAAGCCTACCCGACGGACCCCAAACCTGTGCCTTAACCAAGCCAACTGACCTGGCCTTTGGACCGCAAGTCTATGGTATAGCTGGAGAACAAATGTCTGAAGATGGTTTATAAGTCAGGACTTATCACCTTAATTATTCCTTCTTGTCAACAGTATTTCACCAAGCAGGCGGGCATTTTTACACGGACTCTAAACTGTTAAACTGTGGAACGCTGATACTCTCATGAACTAGTAAAACAATATCGTCATTCTGGAAAATTGAAATAAGCACAATTTGCCGTTGCCACTTAGTCCGCTGCGATCTGTTTACAAATGAAAAGCGGACAATGGCTCAGTGAACTATAGTTAAGATTCTGTTACATAGGTGAGAAAGTTAATGTTTTACAATAGCCTTAAGGCTAGAGCCGTCAAGAGTAGTCCTTGCAAGCTAAAATGTAGATGTGGGTGAATGAGATTTAAACGAAGGCAAAATGCTAGCTAAAATGCGTTCATAGACAGCCAGTTAGACACCGGTAATAATATATATTTATATATATGCGCATCTTACTTACCCTGCTTGCGGGCCAATCAAAAGGTCTGGAAGCGTGTGTTATGCCAGTATCAGCAGCCCATGTTCCTCGCAGTCTATTGTGCGCTAGCAGTTTCCTGACACCCGGTATTTTGCCGATAGATACGCTTGCGCTTTTGCTGGATATACAGGTGGTAGGCATTGCTGCCGAGTCATTACGTCCTTCCAAGCCCTGTTGGGGTGTTGTTGTTGGTGGTCAACTTCTGGTCAAGTGCAAGTTTTGAACCAGGGGGTGTGGTGGCACGCCTAGGTGCGGGTCCGGCCGCGACAGCCACCTGTGCCCCTCTCCCCCGCCTTCGGTCTTCTCGACTCTGTCTTGGCACGGGGTCCGTGTTGGGGCGGAGGAGAGACTGTTGTAAATGCTGCGCAAGCCTACTATGATTATAAACGGATTCGAGCACAAGTAACCGTGAATGCTGCACCTTGCTGTGTAGCACACAATGGACATCGTCGGAATCGACAATCGAACTGTCACTTGCGGGCCTTTCGTTTGACGTCCTCGTTGGTGACAAAGTAAGTTTTCTAATCTTCTGAGTATGAGCACTTGATTGTTACGCCTCCCTTTAACACAATTCCAGTCTTAACAGGAATTCAAGTCCTATCTAATGAATTGCAAAGACAAAATGTTATTACCGACAAAGACACTGGAGACTGGAATGGCCATTTCTGGCTTGCAAAGAAACAAGCTCGCTCAGAAAAATAAACTTTGATAACGAAAAAAAATTCAATCTTATAATCTAGTCATCACGTTTTGACATGCTCAAGCAAGTGGGACACTGGGCGGCATTCAGTTTTTGTGCGAACTTAGGTACAACATTCTTCTTTTGTGTTTTGAAGCTGCGTGCTTTCTAAAGACACTGAGGGTTTTAAAAGGAGTACCTGCTTTACTTAAACAAAGTTTACAACAATTTGGCCACGATTATATCCACAAAAAGTCTACTCGTCACCAGAGCGAACTCATTTAAACAAACAACAATTGAAAATATTTAGTTGAGCTTTTCTAAGGAAAGATACGAAATTGTGAAGCTGGCGACTGTAAACTTCGAAATTAAAACGCAAAGACCTATTCCTATATACCACGCTTTGCTCCAGTCGCGCTATGTCAATAAAAGTTCCTGCGTTGAACAATTCACAATACTGATATCACTAGTTCCCGCTATAGTCCATTATCCGTCTTTTTCCTATTTGAGCACTCAGAGTTAAGAAAATCAAGATATCTGTATAAAAGATCCGCGTATAGTGTTTGCCTATGTATTATGTGGGGTGAGTGGGTCGCATCATTCTTCTCCAGCCGGCGGTGACACCGCCTAACCTCCATCAACTAGAGTCCTACTCTCACTTATGGCTCCTCGAAGCTGGCCCCAGACAGGCTGGTCCGGCGTTGTTTGTGTCCTTACATCCAGTAACGCCGCCCCCCTTTCCATCCCTCTCCCCACCACACCTTCAAAAACCCTACTTAGAGGGCGGCATGCAATCCTGTTAGCTGCCCAGACCGACTCAGATCGCTCTCGATTAAACAGAGCCGTCCCCCAAAGTGGAGTTCGGTAGTCGTCTGGGATATCTCTGGAGCTCTGTTTGCTGATAACGCTGCTTACCCTCCCATGAAGGCTAGAAAAAATGTCCTAAACAAATGATGGGGAGTCACACCATCTGCTAGCATACCATAGTTCATAGATGCAAAACGTTCGGTCGAAAAACTATAATGAACAAAAATCAGCCACCTTCCTCTCCCCTTCGCCCAACCCCACAGGCAGCTAGGGTGAGTCCACCCAATCTGACAGCCTAGAATGTTGTTCCTTTGAGACAATTCGAGAAGCAACCGGCTGGAACGGAAGGTGATGCTGGTCACATGAAGACTGGCGCACCACAAGGTGGACATTGCTGCTCTCCTCGTGACCCGGTCCTCCGAACAAGGCCAACTGGGGTAGGTGGGCTACACCTTCGGCTACGCCTTCTTCCGGAGCGGTCGCTCAAAAACAGAGCGACACAATGGTGGAGTCATCTTAGCCATCCGGAACTACATCGTGAGGCGACAGCCCTATCCGCCGCAGGGCATCAAACACCGACTGATGACCTTACGCTTGCCTCTTCAAGAATGGGAATTCGCCATCATCAACAACACCTGCGATCTCCTCTCCCCACCAATGACGAGATCTGACGAGACAAATAACAAATTCTACGAGCACGTACATGCCCCCCTGGTGTCTGTGTCAAAGGCGGAAAAAGTGATCGTTATTGGCGAATTCAACTCCCGCGTCTGGGCAGACCACAGTACCAGGGAGGGAGTGCTGGATCGCCATGGTCTCGGCGGCTTTCTCGATAACGAACTACTCCTTCCGCAAACCTGCGCGGAACACTGCCTCCTTCTGACCAACATCTTCTTCCGCCTTCCGACACACAAGGGTGCACCCCCCGATCGCGGCGCTGTTGGCTGCTGGACTGTGTTCTCGTCTGGCGCGCGATCGACAGGACATGCTGGTAACCAAAGCGATCTAGAGGCCAGTAGCTGGACGGACCACCGCCTCGTCATCTCTAAAATGAGGTTCTCTCTGTAACCCAACAGGAGGCCACAGGATATGTGACGACCAGGTGAGTTAAATGCTGTTTTGTTTAATTTTCCTTCATACCGTCTTCACTTCAGTAGTCAACGACTCCGTCAAGACCCTATGCTGCCAACTGCAGGACGCCGTCCATTAAACCTCACTGGGTGTCCTCGGATGCGCACGTCGTCAGAACCAGGTCTGCTTTTATGGAAACGACCCAGTCGTCAGCAAACTGTTAGCCGAAAAAAGCAGGCTGCATAAAGCCTATATTGACCGTTCGACCGATGCTAAAAAAGCGACCTTCAACTGATAACGCCCCCTTGCACAGAAGCGGTGGGGAGGACGCCTTTGCAGGACGCCTGAGTGGCTCGTAAAGCCGAGGATATCCAGGGTTATGCGAACGAAAATGAATCAAAGAATAAGCTCTCAGTGATAAAGGCTATCTACGGTCCAGGGACCGAGGGAACCACTCCGAATTTCAGCACCGAGGGAACGCCTATTCTAACCAAGAAGTCGTAAATTCTGAAGAGCTGTGTCAAGCACCTTACTAGTGTCCTTACTCGCTCACCAACCACCACCGCCGGCGCCGTCGTCGGCCGGTTCCCCAAGTGGAAATCAGCATCGATCTGGACCTCCACCCTCCCTTCCAGAAACTATCCGCGCGTGCAACAACTCTCCAGCGGAAAAGAACCAGACTTTGATGCGATCCCCGTTGAAATCAACAAGGAAGGCGGTCGCGGATTGATGGATCACCCAACAGCACTCTTCCAGAAGAGGTGGCGACGAGAGCAAATCACTCAGGATTTCAAGAATGCGACTATCTCACCTCTCTGAGCATAGACCCAGGAAATCTGTGGTAACTACAGCGGCATCTCGTTTTTCAGCATCGCCGGAAAGATCTTCGCTCGCCCTCTCCTTAATTGTCTCAATGGCCACCTCGAGCAAGGACTATTGACAAAAGGCCAGTGTGGCCTCTGACGACATTGTGGGATAACCGACGTGATCTTCGTGACCCGCCAACTACTAGAGAAGTGTCAGGAGATACGAATTCACCTCCGCACTATCTTTTTGAATCTGATACAAGCCTTCGACACAGTGAATTGCGATGGACTGCGGAAAATCATGCACAAATGCGGATGTGCTGAGCAGTTCACACACATGGTGCGTCAGTTCCACGACGGGATTGTCGCATGCGTCATAAACAATGAGAACGTCTCTGAAAAATTTACAGTAACCAACGGAGTTCAGCAGAGCTGCATACTTGCTCTCCCCTCTTTAGCCTCCTGTTATCTGCCTTACTAATAGACGCCTGTCGTGATGAGAGTCCTGGAATACGCATCGCCTACAGCACCTACGGGTACCTTCTCAACAGCAGGCACACGCTGGTCTCAAATTAGCTATCTACGATCCCAGTCCACGACCCGCTCTTCACGGACGACTACACGCTCAACAGCACGACCGAAGACGACATCCAGAGGTGCATGGACCTCTTTGCCACCGGATGCACAAACCTTTGACCAACACTCAACACGGCCATAGCGTTGGCCTTGTACCAGCCGTACCCAAGACGGAATACAACGCTCATCCAATCTCAGTCAGCGGCAACTAACTCAAAACCGTGGACGACTTCGTCCATCTTGGAGGCACACTCTCGCGCAGCACAAAAATCGACGACGGTGTTGTCCATCGGCTCCCCAAAGTCAGTCAAGCCTTCAGCCGACTGCCAGACTCCGTGTGGAATTGCTACGTCCCTTAACTGAAAATTACACTGAATATATAAAAGACCGTCGTCTTGACGACAATTCCGAACGAAGTGGAGATCTGAACTGTCTACTCCAACCATTTTAGGAAGTTCAATTACTTTCTTCTCATTTGCCTCCGCAGAATACTGCGACTGAAATGGTCGGAAAGGATCCTGGACACGGAATTCCTCGAACGGACCGGAATCCCCATTATACATGCAATTGCGGTGGAGCGGTTACCTGGTGAGGATGGAGGGTGAGAAATTACCAAAGCGACTCTTCTATGGAGCTTTCACTAGGGGTACTCGCCAAAGGTGAGGACAAGATCGACGCTAAAGTGACATTTTGAAGAACTCTTTGAAGTGACTGTAAATTAAATCGGAGACCGAGGAGGACCTCGACCAGGATACACCGACCAAGAAAGGAACGAGTAAGACTGGTGCAGCAATATACGGCGCAAACTGGGTCTTCACTGCGTTAACCAAAAGGCCGGCTTGCGAGTCACAAGCGCCTCGAATCCATGAAGCCCACAGCCAATCTACGCTGCCAACGCGTATTCCGCTCATGAGATGGCATTTTAAAACCTTCTAAGTAACGGGAGTTAGAAACCCTATGTGCTCAAAGAAGTATTTCCTTTCATATATTGCTTCATCTTCGGACAACATTTCTTAACCGGTTTTTCAAAATCTGCCACTAAGATTTGGCAGGATGGCGGCTTTTAAATGCACATCTCTTCAATCGGTAAAAAAGTGACTATTTAAGCAACATGGATTTTTCATATTGATTTTCGATGGCCTTATAAATTTAAATATATTTAATGAAAAAATGAACAAAAACATTCTTTCTTTTGCGTCTTTGATAGAGAATTACGTCATTTTCATATTTTGTACTCGAAAAAGGAGTATAACTAGGTTTAAAAGAGTTTCTAACTATGAGACTTCTTAAGATCGCGCATTGTCTATTCATACAGCATTGTACCTGTCTGTTTACCACTACTCCTCATGAAATGTACAACACAGTCCGCATCCATTTTAAAATCCTGTAGACTCTATATGATATCTTTTTAAAGACGTGAAAAAAAATTGTGATTTTCTTTACACGGAAGGCGTGCACCTTTTAGGCTGAAATCACTAAGCGCTGGTGGAACGGCTGATCAGTCTATAAATTAGTCGGAAATTAGGAAAGTTTTTAAAACCTAATTATACTCTTCCTTCGAGTATAAAATCTGAACATGGCGTAAGTCTCTATCAACCAAGCAAAAGAAAGAATAGTTTTGCTTATGTTTTTTATAAAATATACTTGAATTTACTAGACCATCGAAAATTAGTGTAAAAAGGCATGCTACGTAAGTAGTCATTTTTTACCGAGCACGGTTTCCAAAAGAGATTGAGAAGACGTGCTTTTAAAAGTTGGCATCCTGCGGAGTCCGGAATATTATAGGATTATGTCGCAAGATAATCGGTATTACGACTTCACTTAAGTAAACCTTCCTAATCGAAAAGGCATTTCAGGATTTTGGCCAACATTTCATGGGATCGCTCACTCACTATAGCTGTTGTCCGCAGAGAAGAATAGGTGGATATGCGTCGATTTTTTGATGCAACAGAAACTTAGTTCAGGTAACAAATGTACTGCAAAAAAACCAATAGTCGGACGCAGCACGAGAGACAGAAGATGGACTTTATTCCTCCTCTCATATGACAGCTTTCCATATAGGCATATGGGGAATATTTTCTCCAATGTAGACTGCGTTATATTTACCAAAGACAACTTTTTCGTTGATTTCTGCCACCTGGCAGCTGCCGCCGACATTTGACAAACCCTACTGTTTGGACCAGTAAAGAGATTGTCTTTAGCAGAGGATGCCTATACGTAGCACACAAATTATCCATTAATACTCTTTTATTTAGCAGTTCTAAGAATTTTAACCGAATCGTTTTTGTGCATGGCAGGTAGCTAATCACTTGCGTTTTCACCGATAGGGCATGAAGATGGGTTTGATGAATTCGGGTTGTTTCAGAGATTGCTTTAATATTGGGGTAAATAGGATTTCGTAAACTGTACATTCAATTGCATTGATGCCGGATATTCGTAAATCAACCGAATACTCGGTTTACACAAACTACTTTCGGTGTCACGCAGTTCTACGGGCAGATTTCTGGATATCCTCATCTCGCTTCCCAAACACGATTGTCCTCTTGCTCATTATTGCCTGTCCTGTAAAACTTAGGATTTGTGCTCGTCATATGAATAATAACACAACCCTCTTTTATCTGTACTAATTCACCAGAGTAAATACACAATTTCCGCTAAATAATCGCGAATTTTCAGTAGAAGCAAACCGAAATATATCTCATATCAGGATAATGAGAGTTTGGAATTCCGGACTAACTCAGATAATAAAGCCAAGGCTTCTGAAGTTCCGTGTATCTATTTCTGAATTCTACGAGATATTTCGGCTCAGAGGTGCTCCAAGCAGCCTTGCAAGTAAAGAAATGGAAACTCCTATCAAAGTAAGTAGCATGTAAAAATCGCAAACGCGCATAACTTTGAAACGTTCTGCAGAGTAAAATCTCACAAACTCTGGTACAGGGTTCGTTAAATCCCAAAAGTAGGCTAACCACCCGACCTCTTTATAATAGGTGTTCATTTATATGAGGTCAATCTGGATAGGCATACTGAACTGAAGAGAAATGAAATGCAGATGAGCAAACTTGGTTGACGAAACAAGACTGTTATTCACTTGACGTTTCGGATACACTCCCAAGCTAATCAGCAGGCGCGCCTATTAAAAAACTGGCGGTCGCCCAGGAGATGAAGCTGTTCCGTAACTACACATCCACCGAAGTTACTGACGTTTTGTGTCCTGCGATAAGTGCAAGGTTGCCCGCTTTCGAGTCAATTAGGGCTGTAATTTTATAACTGACTGTGATGACTGGCGCGATGTCAGTTCGGCAATTTAACGCATTAGTACTGTCACTGGAACCAGCGTCCATTTGCATGCTCCTCGCGCGTTTAACTGTTCTGTATAGGCAAGGCAGGGTTTGTCGTCCCTGTCTGCTTTCTAGGCAAGAGCAAGGAAAGCTACCTGGCCCATTGTATGCTGAGACCCATCTGAATGCTCGATGATCTAATTTTTACTTTGTTGGACGGTCTAAGTGCCGAGAAACACTACACTCTAACCTTATAAACCTTAAAAATCGTTTGATGATAGACAAAATTTACTTGGCATCGCAATTATGCTCGCTCACGTTCGTGGCCGCTAAATCAAATCCGCGGAGACGCACGTTAATGAACGACAAAAGGCTGGGGTTATTTTTTATCATTGCTGCCGCTGATAACAGACAAAGTCTACGTTCAAAAGTAATGGACGTTTTGCGTCTTGGACATCAAACATACGCAATTCGTGCAATGCCCGAAAATTTTTGCCGGACCAGTCGCCGAAAATGTTAACACGTGAGCCCTGCTTTCGCGTACTACTGGCGGGAAAATTTATTTTTCCCCTCGCTGAAATGGGAGGTCGAGACGAGACTTGCATTTAGACATAGCGAGCAACCGCCCAAGCGTCGACAGATGGTGGATTGTTACGCGATTTTCTGCAAAAGCTGGTTGCGAGCCAATTAAACTTCTGAAACTGATGAAAAAGCGCACTCGGATGAACTGAAGTTAGGCCCACGGGTTGCCGTATAAGATGCTGCAAAATCAAATGGTGACACTAATAAACTTCTTGTGAATCTTTCAGTAAGCTCTTCCTGCTTACTCCTCTTCCTTCTCCTTAAAGACGGGATATCCATCCAGGACCTCAACTGAGAGTTAAGGAACTAACATTACATGCAATCCACAAAATGCCAAAACGCAAGCTGCTTAGCTGTGGCTCTCAAATTCTGCAAAGACGTCTGTGACAACTTTCTTATTTCGATCATTCCAATGGTCGGGCTTGTTATTATTCCGACTGCGTTTGTCAGAAGAAGAGAGGTACTGATTGTATTATGCCGCCCAACAGTTGTACGAAGCAAATGATATAAAAGAATACCGACGTACACGAAGAGTTGTGTTCCAGGGAGCTGCGTTCGCGTCTCCTCCTTCGTAACC